TAAACTATACTGTGTCCAAATAACTTTTGAAAATTATTTGAAATCTGTGAGCAGTCTTTCACAATCTAACCTGTAGAGCACTCACTAGCTGACAAGGCCTCATTTGTATCTTAAATTTTTCTGTTAAAACATTAACAGACTGGCTGGATGTTCCTTTTGGCTCTATATAAAGCAATCTAGGCAGCTTTTTAACTATTTTTGAGGGGATTTAAGTATCCTTTTAATCATATAAGCAGTTCACACTCACACATTCACAATCACATTTAATACATACCGGTGTGGCCACACCATACATTCAGAACATACATGAATCTTTCAGTCATCCTTTTTCCATAGGTCATAATTAGTCTGTTGAAATGAAGCTTCCTTAATTGAAATGTATGTAAAAGAACAACTCCAGCCAATCCTTGAACTAAAAAGGGTAAAAAGTCCTGTATGCTCTTCATCATTCCACCATTTGAGCTACAGTCATGGGGTACAGCTGTATCTACCCCTGGTAACTCCGTAGATGCAAGGTGGAGAGGCCAGGCTTTTGGCCAAAAGTTTTTAGAGATGATTCACAAAATAGAACTTAAATGCAAACAAATTTTTCCGTTCCATATACCTTTGTCTTTTTCTTTTTCATTACTTAATACCAGTACCTCATTTACTGTTACCAATGTTTTTGTTTTTGATTCACCCATTTTTTTTCGAGACTGGGTGCCCCTCGGACCCTAGCTAGTAGGGGAGTGGGTGGCTGCCATTTTCCTGTAATCAAATCCTTCCATCTGACCCATCCCAAAGACTGGGAGGGTTTGTTCCATTGTCTCTCCATAGCAGACAAATTATTACGGTCTATGGTCAAAAAACTTTAAAATGTAAAATATGGTGGATAACTGAATATTGGGGGAGGTAACATACTCCCCCTTTTTTATTTTCTTAAAATACTGTTTGAGAGTGGCATGGGTGCGCTCCACAATGGCCTGTCCGGTGGGGTTGTGAGGAATACCAAAAGAATGGACAATGTGATGTTCCCTGCAAAAGGCAGCAAAGCGATTGCTGGCATAGGCAGAGCCATTGTCTGTTTTTAGGGCATCAGGAACACCCATGTAGGCAAAGGCCTGCAGGAAATGAGAAATAACATCTTTAATCTTCTCTCCTGAGTGGAGGGAGGCAAAAATCAGTTTAGAATACATATCCACTGAGACATGCATGAATTTTAATTTTCCTGCCTGTGGTAGGTGAGTGACATCCATTTGCCAGAGATGGTTGGCCCTGAGGCCCTGGGGATTTACCCCCTCACTGTGAGAATTAATATCGGGGCACAATCAGGGCACTGAGAGGTAATCTGTGTAGCTATGGATAAGGGGCACCCAGTGTGAAATTTAATGGAGCGGGCATTTAAATGATACCATTCATGGAGCTGGTGGGCAAGCTGCTCCTGAATAAATAAGACCCTAGGGCGGGTCAAGGAGTCAGCAATTTGATTGCACTGGGCAAGGGGTCCTGGAAGGTTAGTATGTGCACGAATAAATCCCACATAAGCAGGGTAGATGCGCTGCCAAATAAGATGTTGGAGCTGAACTAATAAAGAATGAACCTGGGAGGTTGGAAGAACATATGGAGAAGTTTCTAAAGGTCTAACAATGTTGGCAACATAAACACTATCAGTATATAAATTAAAGGGCTCTCCCTCAAACATTTGGAAAGCCATCAAGCAAGCAAACAACTCGGCGGCTTGTGCTGACATCTGCCCTATGGGTACCCTCTTCTGCACCTGAGAAGAAACCACCACCTCGAAACCCTTGGAGGAGCCGTCTGTAAAGACTGAGCGAGCTCCAACTAGAGGGTTCTCCTTTAAAATCTTGGGAAAAATCACAGGGTGTTGTTAAAAAAAAAGGCATCAAGGGACTATTGGGATAATGGTTGTCAAACTGGGCACCTGTAGATGTAATAAACAGGGTCCACCCATCATGGAAGATCTGTAGATGTTTTACCTCCTCCTTACCATAAGGAAGGATAATATTATCAGGACTCATTCCAAAGGTTTGAATGCTAAACTTGTGCACCTTCCACAACATTTGTAAAATCAGATCATAGTAAGGGGTCACTACCTTCTTAGGGGAGGTTGACAAATGTATCCAATAAATAGGACAAGTCTGCCAAAACACGGCAGTGGGCAAAAAGCTAGATGAAAGTACAACCAGAACAAGGGGCTGCCCATAATCTATACACCGAAAGTGGGCTTGCTCTATACTTTTTAACAATTGTAGGGCTTCCGTGGCCTCTGGGGTAATCTGTCTAGGAGAAGTTGGAGCAGGATCCCCAGGAAGAATATCATAATGGGATTTAAGAGCCCCTGTTTTAATAGAAAGAGAAGGGCAAAACCACTGCACCTCTCCCAAAAATCTCTGCCAATCATGAAGCATTTTTAAATTTGAACAATCGATCTGGAGTCTTTGTGGCCGGAGGCCATTTTGTTGAATTTGATGACCCAAATAAGTATAAGGGGGTCTCTTTTAGGTCTTTTCAGGAGCCAAAATAAATCTGCGGGCCTCCAGAAACTCCTGTAGCTCTGCAAAGGCTATGTAACATTGTCTTTCCTCGGCCGTGGCCAAAAGAATATCATCCATGTAGTGGATAATGTAAAGATCAGGGAACTTACGTCTGAGGGGATCTAAACAGGCAGCTACATAAATCTGGCATATAGTTGGACTATTAGCCATCCCTTGGGGGAGCACCACCCATTAGAAGCAAAGGGCAGGCTCCCTAAAATTAATCGCAGGAAGGCTAAACGCAAACCAAGGACTATCTTGAGAATGCAAGGGAATAGAAAAGAAGCAATCCTTCAAATCAATGTCAATCAAATGCCAGTCTCTATGAATGGCCACAGGCATGGGCAAACCAGGCTGGAGAGCCCCCATAGGCTGCATGGTCCCATTCACAGCCCTCAAGTCTTGTAGTAACCTCCATTTCCCTGAAGATTTTTTAATTACAAATATCAGGGTATTCCAAGGGGTTGTGGAAGGAACCAAATGACCTGCCTCCAATTGTTCTTGAAATAGCTGGTGTGCCGCCCTTAATTTCTCTGCTGGTAAGGGCCACTGTTCCACCAATACAGGATCATCCGATAGCTATGTGATGGGTATGGGGGCTGGCGACGCAACATTGACCCTCATCAAAAAAGACCAAAACCCTTCTTATCTCCTGGAGCCTACTTATATCAGGAGTGACATCAAACTCTGATACTACAGCCCTCTCCCCATGACTGTGGAGGTGACAGTCATGCACATGTGCCCAGCAGATGTCTTAGAGACCAGTCCCACCCTAGAGCTTCCCTCCTGTTGGGAAAGGAAATTCAATGTAACAAGAATAAATATAAGATCCAGAGACAGCTGGGTATTGGTGGCACACACCTTTAATCCCAGCACTCACAAGGCAGAGCCAGGTAGATCTCTGAGAGTTCGAGGCCAGCCTGGTCTACAGAGCAAGTTCCAGTACAGCCTACAAATAATACAGTGAAACCCAGTCTTGAAAAACAAACATACAAACAAAAAAGATCCAGACACAGATATTGGAGTCAAGCTTCAAGTGGATGGCCAGAGAAGCAAAGAAGCCAAGCCACTAGGTCTTACTTCTATCTCAGGCTGAAGGCTGATCCTGTCTCCAGGATCTCTCCTCCAAGCCTCAGACTGCTGCCTCTCATCCAAATGGATTGAGACTAAGTCTCCACCTGAGACTCTTTACTTTTGGTAACTGTCTATGACTGGGATTAAAGGCCTGTGATTCCAAGTGCTGAGGTCATGTTATGTGAGCTGTTTCTCTTTGAGATTAACTCAAATTTGTGTAGTCCTGCGTCGCCTGTCACTCACAGAGACGCAATTGTCTTTGTCTCCGGAGTTCAGGGATTAAAGGTGTGTGGCAACTCTGCCCAGATTCTACAGCTATCTAGTATGGCTGGCTTTGAATTTTGATTCTTCAGGCAATCTTCATTAAATCATTAATAAATTAATTATAGGTGTGGAGGCATTTGCCATGGTGCCCATGTGTGGAGTTCAGAGGAAACAATCAGGAGTCTGTACTACTGGATTCCACACATCAAATTCAGGTCTTCACGCTAGGAGAAAGTGCCCATAAGGGGTTGCTGGGTAAGGGATTTGTACTAAAAGACCATTTGAGGCACTTGGTTTCTACTGTTTTCTTCAAGAAAACCATGACTGTTTTCTGTTTCGAATTTGATGTTGTTATTTGTCAGTTACTCACTGTGGGGATCAGGTTGGCCTGAAACTCACAGAAATCCTCCTGCCTCAACTTCTAGAGTGCCAAGATGCAGAGTATGTACCCCATCCAGGATAATACAAGGGAATTAAAGATTAGTGTTTGTTTTATCTCCATCCCTTCATGCTTTGCTGTTGATTTTCACTTTGAGATAAAGTGTCCATTTTACTCTTGATGATTTAAAGTCCTTGATAAAGTCATCATCCCAACTAAGCTTCTTGACAGGGAGGACTTCAGTTTCCAACACATATATCACTCTTTCTCATCTGCAACATATTCATGGGGTGTGTTTCAGTTTTGTGTTTGGTTTTTATTTTGTTGTTTTGAGACAAAAGCTAATATTGTAGTCTTTTGTTACCATGAAACTCCCTACATGTTCAAATACCCTGACATACTATAATACACACATAGGCACTGAAATCACTCTCACGCACACACACACATATATATGTATGCATATATATGTATATTAGTTTATATATGTATACATATATATCTACATGTGCATGAAAATCGACATAAAATAAGTAATTCTATCCACAGTTTGAATATTGACTTTTGGATTTAATGTTTTTGTTTTCACAGGATAGGTCAGATTCAATCCATCTGCTGTAAAAGATAATAAATCCTTAACAAGATTAAGTGGACCAATCTGGTAGGCGTTTTTGTAGAGGGGTGGGGCTTCATGGGAGGAGTGAGTTGGGAGGTATATAAAATGGGAAGAGGGGACCTGGTAGAATCTCAGAGTCCTGAAGCCTGGAGTCACTGATTGGCTGTGCTGAGGAGTCCTGAGCCTAAAGCCTTTGTTTGACACTGCTTGCAATAGGAGGTCCATACTCTGTGTCCATATCAGGTAAGTCACCCACACTCATCAGAAGACCTAGTATTGATGGTCTAGCCTTATCACCATCTGAGTGATTTCCAAATAATGGCTTTGAAATTCAAAGGACACAATTTAATATGTTTACATTAGTGTACTTTGGTTTTAATGATAAATGATCATTACACAGGAATTTACATGTTAGTGTCTTAGGCTCATTTGAGTTTTTAGAGACAGGGTCAAAATAGAAAAGATTGTTCTTGTACCCTAGATTGATTCACTGGCTTTGTCCAGATTTCTAGGCTCATTATCAAATTGGAGTTAGTATGTATCCTCTTGTAATATATTCCACATGTAAGTGAAAACAAAACTTAAAAATACTGGTAGACATTGGCAAAGAATGGGCTGACAAAACCAGCAGAGACAGCTGATCTGAACAGGGGCGAGCTCTTGGACCCCAGACAGACAGCTGGGAGGCCAGAATGGGAGTGATCCAGACCCACTGAATGTGAGAGTCAGTGAGGAGGCCTGGGCAACCTATGGGGCCCTGAGCAGTGGATTAGTATTTATCCCTGGAATACAAACAGACATTGTGTGTGCATAACACAAAGAGGGATGCTCTCTCAGCCTGGACTCTTAGGGGAGTGCCTGGACCCTACCTGGAGTGAAATGACAGACTCTAGGTATGCCCTATGTGGAAGGAATTGGCAATAGGGTGGGAGGCTGGGGGGGATGGGGGGTATGGGAGGAGGGGAGGGAGAGGGAACTGGGATTGACATGTAAAACAAGCTATTTAAAATGAAAATAATTTTAAAAATATCGGTAGACTTGTTTGTGTCATTCCCTTTCTTCCTCTAGACCCCAATGCATCACAGGAAAATCTTTGTCTATATAGATTCTATTTACTTGGTTTCTCATCTAAGATTCTCAATATAGAAGTGCTGTCATTCAATAGCATGGCTTTCCTGTAGTGTTTGAAATGTAAGACAAATTCTTGCATTTCAGACATGGTTTGATTTTGCAGTTAGATAACTGTGAATTTGTGAATTTAAAGAGTCTTTTTTTTTTTTTGGTTTGTCGAGACAGGGTTTCTCTGTATTGTTTTGGAGGTTGTCCTGGAACTTGCTCTGTGGCCCAGGCTGGCCTCAAATTCACAGAGATCTGCTTGCCTGTGCCTCATGAGTGCTGGGATTAAAGGGGTGGGCAACCAATGCCCAACTAATTTAAAGATCTTTTACCTCATTTCCTGAATTAGTATAAGCCCAGCATCTCCACATCTGTTTCTAAAGCCTTTATCAGTACATGTTCTAACAGGCATTTCACAAATTCTCCTCACTCCTTTTCAAGAGTGATCAGTTTAGTGAAAGCATAATATGGGTGGGTTGGGTGTGTGATATCAGCTATGTATTTTCTTGATCACCTGGAAAGATGGACAGTGTCTTTTCCTATAACATTGGTCTGGTCAGTCTGTATGCTCCTGGATATTTCCAAATAGAAGAGAAGAGGTAGGTACCTAGTGGGAGAGGTACCTGGGGGGATAATGATAAATTTGTGTCTGTGTGGGGGCTTTTAGAGACTCTACATGAGGAGAGTGTTGGAAGTTTGGACTTCACACCACCAGATGGTATATAATAAGGCAGACTGAGTTCTCCATTATTCACAGACGAAAGACTCTGAGCCTCTAGTTCCTGCAATGTGTGAGAAGTGGGAATTCCCAAAACATGAGTAGAAAACAATGTCTCTCATTGAGTTACAAGGTTCTTTCTGACTCAAGATCTATCAGAATGAGCATCTACAACCCAACCACACTCCAAGAGCTGGCAGTGCAGAGCCTGCTGAGGAATGAGGCCTCAACCATCTCTACTCTGGAGTACCTGCCCATTAATCTCTTCCTACCAGTATTCAAGGAGGGCTACACTGGTAGGCACATGGAGCTATTGAAGGAAATGGTGGCTGCCTGGCCATTTTGCTACCTTCCTGTGGGGGCCCTGATGAAGACACCAGATGTGGAGTTGTTGCAAGCTGTTCTGGATGGTGTAGATATTCTGCAGACACAGAAGCTTCATCCAAGGTAACCAAGACCCAAATTGATGAAAGAGGAGTTGTTGAGCTATAGGTAAGATACATGTAAGGGCAGGGAGAATGTGCTCAAAGTGGACAGAAGTTTCTGGAGCCATCTACTTGTAGGTCTGGGGAGCTCTATTCATGTAGAGAGTTCATGCAATGACAGGAGTGGAGGAGAGGTCACAGTGGATGGTGCCACAGTGGGATGAGCTTTCCCTGGTTCTCCTTTATGCACTCATTGCTGAAGAGACACAAGTCTAGAGTAATTGAATGGAGGTAAGCAGGAAAGGTCTCCAGATGAAATTCAGGCAAAGAGTCCTTGCCTGACAGGTGAGAGGGTTATATTGGATCTGGCAATATAGTAGTTGGACAGAGGCTGTCTCACAGGGGTCCTAGTTTACATTATGAAATTGTACCTTTTTCATCACAGATGTTGGAGGCTTCAAGTACTTGACTTGAGGAATGTGAACCAGGATTTCTGGGATGTATGGCCTGGCAGAGACTGGTACTGCTCAACAGAGACAGAAAGTAATACAGGAGTATGCAACAAGCTGAGGTGGGATTTGAATGTGGTCACTGACCTTAGCCTCAGGTTCCACCTTAAAGAAGACCAAACATGCTTGTTGCAGTGGGCTCAGCAGAGGAAACACTGTGTGCAGCTGTGCTGTGTGAAGATGACGATTTGTGACTTTCCTGGAGAGATTCTCAAGGAGGTTTTGGACATTTTCCCGCCAGACAATATCCAGGAATTGGAGCTATCCACAAACCAGGTTCTGCCCTTCCTGGGTCACATTGCACCTCACCTAGGCCTTATGACAGGACTTCGGAAATGCCGTCTAACTCACATCTTCTTGAACTCAAACACGGTTGTAAATAGCTTGGCAGAAACAGAGGAGATGTGTGCTGCCCAGTTTCTCTCTCAGTTCTGCAAACTCAACTCTCTCAAACATCTATTCTTGGATGGCATCTACTTTCCCCCTGGACTCATGCAGCTGTTGTTCGGGTAAGGAATGTTGGAGAGCTGTTTCTACTGTGACAGGAAATATTTTCCTTTATTTCTATCATTACAGGGCCCAGTGGGTGTCCCTGCCACTGTGGATTTAACAGTGATGAACTAAACACAGTATCTACATCTATATATGGACTAATATCTTTCTTAACAGAGGTCACTTAGTACAATGACAATTCATTTATTAGTCAGAGCTGGGGTAGGAGATGTTTAGAGAGCTGAATTGACGGCACGTCAATTGGGTGGTCGGACACACTGAGTGTGCTCTGGAATTTCGTTCTTGAGATCCTGGCTATGCTAATGGGAAGGGAACAGGGCAGAGTAGCAAGTCCTGAGCTGGGGTGTACCCACATCTGAATAAGAAGCTAAGGAACTTTGTACTTTGATCTGTGAATAGGGGTCAGCTTGTTCTTCTGGTGGAGCCTGTCTCAGGCTCTAAGTCCCCCTGGAGGGAAGGATAATATGAGCATAGGTTGGGACTTAGTAGATAGAAGATGATTGATGCTGGGGCGAGGGACTCACAGTTTCAAGTGTTGAGCACTGAAATCAGGAATAGAGGCTGTGACTGGTGGGTAGAAACACAAGAGTAGCTATGCAGGACACATGCCAAGATGCTGCCAGAATCTTTCTGTGATGATCCTCTGGGTATGAGCTCCTGACCTGCTGTGACAAACTCTAGTTCTATTTGACAGAATGAGGATGGGCAGCTGGAAATGTGTTGTGTGAGACTATCCAAGCTTACAAATATACCTCAGGAGTCAATTATATGAGCAGGCAACAGAAGGTTGTATCGCAAGTGCTGACCTCCAGGATGAGGCTAAATTGACTTTCCATATGTGGTCAATTCTGTCTCAGTGTCAAACTTTTTAGTGCCCTCAAAAAAACATGCACTAATTTCTTTTTATTTCCCTAGATGCATGAAGAGCTCTTTGGAGACCTTGACAATCACTGTCTGCCATCTCTCCCAGTCAGGCTTTAAATACTTGTCACAGTGTCAGGGGCTCTGTCAACTGAAACACCTGAATCTCAGTGGTTTAGTATTGTCCATGTTGGGTATCAAACATCTCCGAGTTCTCCTTGAGAATACAGCAGAGACTTTGAAGACCCTGGAGTTAGTGAACTGCAGGATGGAGGACTATGAGCTCAATGCCCTCTTGCCTGCTCTTAGTCAGTGCACACAGCTCACAACAGTGAATTTCTATGACAATGACTTCACCACTGCTGCACTGAAGAAGTTTCTACAGAGTGTGGCAAATCTAAGAAAAATAACTGTAGAGTTCTACCCCACCCCTCTAGAGTGCTATGACCCCCTGGGTTCTGTCCTTGTGGAGAAATTTGCTCAAGTATGTTCTGAGCTCCTGGATATACTTTTGGTCAAAAGGTAGCCCAAGACTATAGCTTTTGCTACAGTCATCTGCCTTGAATGCTGTAGGCGCTGTGTTTATGACATGGAGGCCAAACTTTGTCAGTGTTGGCAATAAATAGGAAAAGATTGCTTCTGGATACTGAGAAATGAAAGTCTAATGTTTGGATTTGCATCATGGAGTCCCAGAAAACATGACTTCATACACTGTGTCATGTATTGGAAACAAAATATTGTTCAGGGTATACACACCATAGACCCAAGGATAATGGGAGCACAGTGATACTGGTCTTGTCCAATCAGAAAGGCAATTTTGCATTTCTACCTCTGCCTCTCTCAAAACAGGATCACCACTGACTTGCCCACATGTGACAGTTTTAAACATATGATCAGACTAGGAATCTGGATGTTCTTCCCTTGTGTCCTGAGTTATTAATCTCAGCATTAGGTCATAGGCAAGGTGTTCTGTGACCACATGAAGTATGCACAAAGACTTATCGTCCATGGCTTGCCACCAACAATATGAACTGCAGTCATTTATGGTATTGTCTTTCCCCTCTTAACTTCCCACCCTATGGCTATTTAGTGGATTGTTTGTATAGACTTATGAAACTGAACACAGAAGTGTAGCCCTGGTCTCCGTTGAAGATGATTTTGGAGAAACACAGAAGATTGCATCCCAGGATACTCAGATAGGAGGTGCTGGGCACCCCTTGAACATTAGCCTTGCCTAGAAACCTGACTGACCTGAGACCCGGTTGTTAACTGTTTGGTTGTAAGTTCTGACTTATTTGCTAAGAGAGTATCCAAGACAGCTATTTCATTGTATCAGAGAGCATTAAGATAAATTTTATTCCTCTGTATTTCCATTGGTCTTCATTAATAAACCAAATCCCCCTTTTCCCACATGTCATTGTGATGCCTGCTAATGTCATACAGTGTACCAACTGTGAAGGACACTGGCTTATCACACTTTGCACAGAACAATCCTTGGGGCGTGATGTGACTACCAGAAGATGGCATTTCAACACAAGACCCTGATTCCTAACACCTAGAAAAGTGTGGAGGTACAAAGAATTTATTGTTCCATTTGTGCTCACAAGGGTGGTCAGTCACAGGCTAGGAGCCTAAAGTGACTATGAGGAATCTTCTTGCTCTTTTAAATGTTTCATATTTTAACTATGAAGCTGGAGTCCCACAACACACCTTAGTCACAGCAAATAGAACACATCAGGTATTCATATAGTGAGGGTCTGAACCCTTTTCAAGTCAATTCATCCACAGAAAGAAGAAGAAACTGCAGCCAGGTTCTTTGTGATTGAGGCTCGCTTGGCATTCTTAGGCTCCATCTCAACCAGTGTTCTTCTATATTGGCGCCTGGATACTAGAGGTATCAGAACATCAGCAACATGATCATAGTTTCTATTCTTCTGTTAAATCAAGAAATTTAGCAAATGGTGTGGTTACAGGGCTAAAAGACTTCTCAATGATCTGGTTGAAGGGCTGAGGATTAAAATGAAGACAAATACAGAGGCTCAAACTTCAAAGGAGAATGGCATTTATTGTTACAAGATCAGAGCATTATATATCAGTAGCAGGCATGGTAGAAAACTGCCAAGGCAAAGAGCTCAAGTTTCCAGGGCTCTCTGGTAAAGGATGGGAGCATAACAGGAATTAACATTTAGGCTTAACTGGAAGGAGGGACAAAATGTCTTTTGCTAGAAGCTCCTGGTCACAAGCTGGTCAGCAGACCCGCATGGGGGAAGGGTACAACAAAAATAGAAAGATTACACAAGGCAGGGTGATGATGGTAAACTCTTTTAATCCCAGCACTAGGGCGGCAGAGGCAGATGGGTATCTGTTATTTCAAGCCCAACATCTTCTATAGAGTGTATTCTGGACAGCCAGGACTACAGAGATATCCTGTCTCCAAAAAAAATTGCTCTTGGAGTACTATTCAGCAGGAAAAAAACAGTGGAATCTTAAAATTTGCAGGCAAATGGATGGTGCTAGAAGAATCCATCCTGAGTGAGGTAACCCAGTCACAAAAAGAAAAACATGGTATGTACTCACTCCTATATGGATTTCAGACACTGACCAGAGGAGTGCCAGCCTACACTCCCACTGCCAGAGAGTCTGGGAAACAGAATCTTCAACCAGTGACTGAGGGAAGCTGACAACCAGGGACAGCTAAACACTGAGCTGAATTTAAGTAACCGAGAGACAGAGAGGGAGGACTGATGAGCATAGGGGTCAAACCTGGGCTTGTTTAAGCCACAAATATAGATGTCCTGAACAAGGGGGAGCTCTTGAACACAAGACTGATGGCTGGGAATCCAGCATGAGCCTGAAGCAGACCCCATGAATGTGGGTTTCAGTGAGGAGGCCTAGGCAATCTATGGGGCCTTGGTTAGTAGATCAGTTTTTATCCCTGGCTTACAAATGGAATTTGGCTGCTCATCCCACAATGACGAATGCACTCTCAGTCTGGACTCCTGAGGGAGGCTGTAGGATCCTCCCTAGATGAAATGACAGACTATGGACAATCCTCATGGTGGGCCTAACCTCCCTGGGGAAAAGAGTGGGGATTGGGGGAGGGGAGTGGGAGGTTGGTGGGAGGGCATGGGAGGAGGGGCGGGAAAGAGAGAGGCAACTCGGATTGATATGTGAAGCAAGCTTGTTTCTAATTTAAATGTAAAAATAAAATAAAAGAGATGCTAATAGAGGGAGAATCAGTCATATGGGACCAGCTCCTTGATTGCTTATCCATTCGTGGATCTTCCCTAAATTGGTGTGTATAAGCACCACTAAAACAGCTTGGCAGGATGTACTTAGAGAGGTGTGTGTGTGTGTGTTTGTGTGTGGACTTGAGGTTGTGTGTGTGTGAGAGAGAGGGAGACAGATAGAAACAGAGAGAGAGAGACAGAGACAGAGACACACACACAGAGAGAAACAGAGAGAGACACAGAGAGTGAGAAACAGAGAGAGAGACACAGAGAGATAGAGAGTAGTTACTTAGGAATGGGTCATGAAATTACATAAGAATAGGAGGGGAAGAGAATAATTGGAGAAGGGAGAATCTGGTTTGAAAACAATACCAGTCTCTCTCTCTCTCTCTCTCTCTCTCTCTCTCTCTCTCTCTCTCTCTCTCTCTCTCTCTCTCTCTCTCTCTCTCTCTCTCTCTCTCTTTCTCTTTCCCTTCCCTATTTTCTTCCTTCCTTCTGAAGAACCCCTGCACCAACAGTTGAAAAATTTGTAAGCTGTCCTGTCCTTGGACATGAGCAACTACACTTAAACATCTTAACATGGTGGTCCTGAAGGACTTGATAATATTTGCCAGGCCTCAGTCCTCAAGGATTTGGGAACTTTCCACAGACCTCAAGGTTCCAGGCTGGTCACAAAGTTCAGGCAGGGCACAGACGTTGTCTAAGACAGATAACCAGCCCCTTAGCCACAAGTGTGCGTGTTGGCATGAAGGTTTGACACCGATTACCAAACACCCCTTGTACCCTCACCACCCTGTTTGCGGTTTCTAGGTTTTAAAATTTCTGTAAATTCTGCTTAGAATTCAATACTTCCCAAGGCTGCTGAACCCCGGTGCACTGGCTTAATAAACATCCTCTTACATTTTGCAGCGAACTTTGGTTCCCTGGTGGTCTTTGGGTAGACGGTCCTGAGAGAAAGGTTAAAGGGATTTTCACTTCCTGAGTGGCTGGCTTTTTTTCTTTTTTGGTGTTTTGAGATGTAACTTTGTCTCTCCTGGAACTCACTGTGTAGATGAGGCTGACATTGAACTCGGAGATTTGCCTGCCTCTGCCTCTCCAGTGGTGAGATAAAGGCTGGGATTAAATATTTGTACCAACTTTCTCCGCTTCATTTGATTTCCAAGTGAATCATTTTTCCTGAGTTTTTCTCAAGGAATGTTGATGTAACAATTGGTCCTTCCTTCCCTCTGTTCCTGCCTTCCTTTCATTGCTAGAGGCCATGGTGCTTTTCCCACTGGGATAGAAGCTACTCATAGGCAAGGGTGACATGAAACTCCTGATACTGCATCCCTCTCTCACTGACTGCAGAGGTGGCAGTCCTTCACACCTGCTCAGCAGATGTCATAGACACCAGTCTAAGCACAGTGGTTCCCTGCTGTCGGGAAAGGAAATTTAAAAGTGTAACCCAAATTAATAAAAGACCCAGGGACAGATACTGGGTTTCTAGATGCAAACTAAAGATCAGAGAAGTATAGTAGCCAAGCCACTAGCTCTTTTTCTACCTCAGGCTGAAGGCTGATCCTGTCTCCAGGATGTCTACTCCGCACCTCAGACTGCTGTCTCTCATCAAACTGGCTTGACACTAAATCTACACCTGACACTCTTTGCTTTTGGTGTCTACTTAGTGCTGTGATTAAAGGAGCATGATCCCCAGTACTGAGATCACCTTTGCATGAGCTGTTTCTTTCAGACTGATTCAAGCCATGGGTGGCTTCTGACTCACAGTGAACCTTTGTAGCCTGAGTCCACAGATTAAAGGTGTGTGCCAACTCTACCCTGCTTCTATGGCTAACTAGTTTGGCAGGCTTTAAATTTTGATTCTTCAGGCAATCTTTATTAAATCATTAATAATATATCAGCACATAATGTTTCTTAGTTAATTATAGGTGGGGGGCATTTGCCATGTTGTCAATGAGGAGTTCAGAGGAAACCTTCAGGAGTCTATTCTCCTGGGTTCCAACATCAAACTTGAGTCTACATCGGAGCAAGTACCTTACCCATGGAGCCTTTTGGGATTGCTGGGTAAGGGATTTGTTCTAAAAGTGCATTTCAGAATAAAAGAAAAAAGACCATTTGAGGTATTTGGTTTATACTGATTTCTTCAAGCAAAGCACCCCTGTTTTCTGTCTGGAATTTGATGCTGTTGTTTGATATTTTCTCACTGTGTGGACAGGTTGGCCTGAAACTCACAGAAATCCTCGTGCCTCAGCTTCTGTAATGCCAAGGCAAAGAAGAGTACGCTTGCCATGCAGGATGACACAGGGGTACTAATAAAAATTAGTATTTGTTTGATTTCCATCCCATCATGCTGTTTGCTGTTGATTTTCAGTTTGAGATAAAGTGTCCATCTTACTCTTGATGATTCTAAAGTACTTGCTATGGAGGACTCCCGGTTCCCTACGCCCATCTCATCTCTTTCTCATCTTCAACATATTCCTTTGGTGTGTTTTGTTTAGTGTTTGTTTTGTTGTTGTTGATGTTGTTTTGAGACAAAAGCTAATTTTCTAGCCTTTGGCTACCATAAAAGTCACTACTTACTCAAATACCCACACACAATAAAACACACATAGGCACTAAAATCACACACAAAATAATATATATATATGTTATGTATTTATATAAACTTGTGCATGAAAATTGACATAAAAATAAGTCAATCTATACACAGATGGAACATTGACTTTTGAATTTAGTGTTTTTGTTTTCACAGGATTGGTCAGATTCACTCAGACTGCTGTAGAAAAAAATAAATCAATCATTAACTGGATTAAGTTAGTGGAGATGTAGGATTTTTTGTAGAGGGGTGGGGCTTCCTGGGGAGGAGCCAGTAGGAAGCTTTATAAAATGGTAAGATGGGACCTGGTAGAATCTCAGAGTCAAGGAGACTGGAGTCACTGATTGACTGTGCTGAGAAGTCCTGAGCCTGGAGTCTCTGCTTGGCCTAGCTGGCAATAGGAGCACTAAACCCGTGTCCATATCAGGTAAGTCACTCACCTCCATTGGAAGTCTTAGGACATAATGGTCTAGACATTTACAAACTAGGCTACATTTTTAGATGATGGCTTTAAAATTCAAAGGACACATTTTAATATTTTTACATCTGGTGTAGTTTTGTTTTAATGCAAAATGAACATTAATAG